GTTTTTTTGAGGTTTCGCGCGCGCACGCAATTTTAAGGCTTGACATGTTTGGTGTCTCTTTACCCGACGTGACCCCGTCTTTTATATTTTACCAAAAATTTTGGTAATAAAATGTTTTAGAATTTAAATATAGGGGGAACTGTTTTTTTTTTTTTTTTAAAATCTGTAGTTTTTCCTTAACCTCTTGCCGTCCGCCCGTAGTAAAAAAACGGACGGACGGCACTGCTGCATTTGCGGGTTGCCGTCTCCAGACGCCATTTTCTGCTTGCGCGCGCCCCCTAGCGGGCACGCACGGGCAGAAAAGACCCGACGATTAAACACACCCGTTACCGGGTGTTTGACATATAGGCGATCAGCGGCTACCGGATGTCAACTGGTTAAAAAGCACCTGTCACCTCCAATGTAGTTTAGTAAAAAAAAACAAAAAAAAGTTAATTAGAATACAATTAAAAATACCGCCGTCCCCGTGAACACGCACATAGTAATACAAAAATGTGCTGGGTGCTCCTATGTACAAAAACGATGATCGCGTTACATGTTAGGCACCACCGCGTGAGTGAGAGCAATAATTCCGGGGCCAATATTCACAGTTAACTCTGAACTGATGACCTGTACAGGCGTTTAAAGCGTCACCCATGGACAATCTGGGGTATCGTATTTTGTCACATTTTAATGGGCACATGCAATTTTTTAAATGGCACGTCTAGTATCTATTTACGCAGCACAACCTCGTCTTTTATATTTTACCCGAAAATTGGGCATTGTATTGTATTGTTGAGCATTAAAAGTAACCTAATGTGTACATCATGTGCACAAAAAAAAAAAGCAAAAGCGGCTCTGGCAACGAAAGGGTTAAAAGCAAGTTATAGATTAATCGCTGCGGTTGACATTTTTAGTTTGAGGGACAGAAGGTGGTCACTCAGGAAGAGGAAGTGTCTGCAGAAAGACCTTCACAGCCAGAGATTTATTAATATGAAAAATGATATTTAAAAGGAGATTAACATTGTATAGCTTATATGAGATTTTAGTGACTGGGCTTACATATACATTAACCCTGACAGAGGTGTCAATTAGTAATACAATTTAAAAAAAAACACTGGAAGCCATTCTAAAGAATATGTTGTCCTTCACTGGCCTTAGCGAGCACCCAGGCTGAGGAAAACACAGACTAATGTGTGCAGGGGCCCCAAGGGCTGCAGAGTTATGCCAAAGGGCCACAGGTTTGGTGCCCTTATCTGCAACAGGTGTAGTATAAAACCCCCTGGGGTGGCCATGTCATAATACCCCGCCTCAGACATCTACATGTCATTTATTTACAATTAATACACAAGTAAAGTGTTACATATGGTGGGCAGTGCAATAAATTAGTGTATATAACAAACAAAAAGCGGAATAATTGTAATAACTTTGTAACACATTATTTGTGTAGCGCTGCATGCGGTTTAAGTCCACAGCTTACCCTGGTGGAGCTGCTCCCAGTCTGCTGCAGACTGATTGGGGCCACAGGTGGCCGACATAACAACGTCCAGTCTCAGCTGCTCCATGATTTGGGATTTTGCCTCCTGATAGGCTACGCAGTATTTCTAATATTTGTTGCTGAGAGATTTAACCCCTTTGGTGGCAATCACTTCATTAGACCAGAGCCACACAAGAGAATATAATCGTCCATGTGGCCTAGACCTCAGGGCTTGTTCACACCGTGTCCGTTGAGCTGCGTTCTTCTGCACATGTATGGTGTGAACATAGAACACATTTGATCGCACCATACATGTGCCGTGCGCTGTGCAGAAGAACGCAGCTCAATGACATGGTGTGCATAAGCTTCTGCAATGATTAAAGTGAACCTGTCCTGCCCTTGAGTTATATAAACGGCACCTTTTAAAAGTATGCTAAACTTTGGGCACCCGGTTTAAAATGTAAATGTAAAAAAACAACATGTGGTCCCCCCCCTTCCCAAAATCAATACCAAACCTTTATCCTAGACAGAGGTCTGGTATATGGATTTTGAGAGGGGATCCCAGGCACAAAAAACAGAAAGAAGACGACATGGTGTTTCTCCCTTCACATCAGTCCCCCTATACATCAGAAGCCCTCCTTCACTTAAGAAGCCCCCTTATACATCAGAAGCCCCCCTTCACACAAGAAGCCCCCCTATACATCAGCAGTCCCCCTTCACTTAAGAAGCCTACTTATACATCAGAAGCCCCCCTATACATCAGCAGCCACCCTATACATCAGAAGCCCCCTTATACATCAGAAGCCCCCTTATACATCAGCAGCCCCCAGCTTCAGAGTCCCCCCCTTCAGCAAATATTTGAAGGCACCTCTGAAATAGCCAGAAGGCATTCTGGTTGAGAAAGTTTGGCAGATATTATAAGGCAGCCTTCGTCATTCAGGGTGCTGCGGCACCCTGGGGTGCCTTCTGGCTTTGCCAGGGGTGCATTTATATGACATGTGCATACAGCACAGTGACATGATCACTGTGCTGTATGCAGCACAGTGATCATGTCACTGCTACTTTCACATTGTAATATTTGAGTTCACAAGGACATTTGGTGCCCACAATGTGGATTTTATATCCTTTGTGGCTATTGCGGATTATATTGAAATAAATGTTTCTGTGCCCGGAGTCCAGCTTTTGGATAAACTTTAATTGAGACATTTGTAGAGGTTTTTGAATTAATATTTTTATTTCCAAATTATTAGGAAAACTCTTTTCACTTTTTTACAAAAATGATATCAATTTAAAGAACTAATGAATGCTTAATAAATAAAAAAAGGAAAGGAAAAAAAAAAATGCCCGGGCTTCCGATAAAGCCGAGACTTCAGACAGAATACAAAGGTTACACTATAATGTACAATAAGAACAAATTAGGTTTTGGAAATCTTAATTAAAATCTTATTTGCCATCTACAGGCGATGGGTGTGGCCAATCTGAGACTACAATCCAACCAATGGCTAGGAAGGAGAGGCAAGTGATGTCACAGATGCTGATCTCCTCCAAGCCGCTTCAGCCTACCTCACAAAATGGCCGCCCCATTGCATGTAGGCCGCAGATGTAAATAAAATAAAAAGACAACTCGGAAAACATAACATGTCAGTGTTTTAAAAAGGATTTACATGGAACATAAGTAATATAAGACATGCTGAAATAATATAGGAATATTGCCTGTACAGGTAGCTAATTGATATTTCCATAGAGAATGGTTTAGCTCATTTATATTTTACAAATAAAGTGCCCTTCGTACGTTTAAATAATGTCACAAAAAAAAGCTAAGTTTGAACAAATATTTTCAAGAAAATAATTTAAAATGTTGGCAAGCACCATGTCTCGGGGGAGGGATAATACTGTCACTGTGTGCTAACAAATAATGGCTGCCTATTGCACCCCAGCGGCTGTGGAGACAGAGCAAGGCATGCTGGGAAATAAAGTTCCAAAGCGACTGTGGTGCTATAGGCCATAAGCCTGTCCTATATAAATTCCAACTGCGCACACTAGGCCTCAGTCAGCGTACGAAAGGTGTGTGCTGTCTCACCATAGCAACCAGCGTCTTATAAATATGGGGCCACTTCTGTACTGCTAGCAGGACGTGCTCATGCAAGCAAGGCCCGATCCTGTACACTGCTATGGTGTAAAGGAAAGGGTTGAAGAGCTGCGCATGCCTTGGAGCCTGTGTTGACGGGCTTATATTCTCTTCCAGCAGGTTTTGTGTCACCATACAAGCCTACCTGGGAACTTGCTGGCTTTCACCCGGCAATGCCGGCTTTTCATTTGATTTACTGGCCATTGCCAGCCTGGCTTATCTCCAGCCTGTCAAATATTTCACATACCAACACTGTATAGGTCAGAAGGGGACACTGTGGGTTGTGAAGGAGGCGAGGCGGGGATTCCCTTCTTAGGACTGTTGCCTACTTTCACCCAGAAACATACCCTGGCATTTCCGGTGCCGACTAAAGGGATGAGAGAGGAAGCGCAAAAGTAGTGCAGCCGCAACAGAGAGGGAAAGGTGAGCGCTGCATATTTATCCCTTTCTTTATCATCCAGCCACCTTCATTGGCCACCTCCAACACCCCACCCCCTTCCCCAGGAAATCTTTGGCTTGGGTACTTCAAAAAGTTCCTAGGTATGCATACCTAGGGGGTATTGAAGCAGGCCAAATGCAAGTCAAAAGGAGGTCAACTACAGGCCAAATGCACCCGTCAATGAATTCCGAATGATCTCAAAAGCATCTCAAACTGATGCCATTAACACAAGCCCAAAGCCCGTCAACAAAGGCCCTTACTGCTGCAATAAGGCAAGTATCGCAGTTTGTCCTGGCACTGGAATGGCTCATGTGATAATAGATGGGTATCCTTACCTGTTATTATCATCTGCCCTCTCTGTGGCCTACCATCCATCTCACCAACCAAGGTCATAAAATAAAATGGATGCTTTAACTGGTTGCTATGGACAACACAGCCAGTTGTCCTTTCGGACACTTTGCTAAGAGGCTGTGTATGTTTAAAAAAAAAAAACTTGCTTTACCGAATTCACTTGCCTAAACCCATCTAGCAACATCCTTCTAAATGAGTGACAGGATGCAGTCATTTAGCGTCCAGCTATACGTCGGAGATCCCACCAAGTCATTATTCAGTCATACACGTATATACAGGAGAGTCATACTCTGACTTTAGGCTTTGGTCACATACACAAGCTTTTTGAAGAAGACCAGCTCCACGTAAGACCCGCATCGAAATATCACTACATTGTCCAACACTCAGGTCAGGAAACGCTGTTTCTGACGCCGATTAAAGTTAAGCTAAGAGACAAAATGGCAGCAGTGACATAGTGGCAGGAGTCAGCACATAAAATTATGTAAGTGATGTGTAGGAAATTAAGAATGGTAGGACAGGTGCAGGGAGGTTCCCTCTAGAAGTCGAGGAATATATATGCTTGTTCAGGTTAAATCTTGGAATCTTTCGAGGACGTTCCGGTCCGTCAACCCGCTGAGGTTTTCTGGCATTTTATGCCGCAAACGTTTATCCTCTTCAGAGTTTTTCTTTAAAACACATTATTGCTCAAAGTGCAAATATAATCGGGTTTATACTTTCACGGGGATACCTAAGGTTTTCCGAAAATGTTTGGAAAGAATCCAGTTGCTTTGCCGTTCAAACAAGCCTGCGTTATGTTCCTGGTGGCGGAAGGAGGGGGGTCCTGCGGAAGAAGAAGGCATCTTGTAGGATGTGGCCATTTTTACCGCGATAAGCTTGGTAGACATCTGCGCCAGTAATGCAGTCTTATTTACATGTTCTTGAGCTATTGCTGGCAGGTTTGCTTCGGCTCCACGTTATTAAACCTCACTAGAACAGAAACAAATATAAGTGTTATCATAGACGTCAACAAAAGTGTCAAGTAGCCAAAATATATTCTAAACTCGAGTTACAAAGTAAAGAAAACGTTAAACGTTCCTCAAATAGTAACAGTGACCACTGATTGCTAGGAAATAATTTTCTGTACAGCGGGTCCTCATTTCTACAGCTGCAACCCCCCCCTTCCCCTTCCCCCCCAAACGTGGGAAGGCTGTAGAATTATTATTTTAAAATGTAGATCGGATAAAAAACAGCACACACGCAATAAATCCATGATCTTTTTTCCGTCAATGTTTGTCATACACAGCCTAGGTTTCGGGGTCACACAGAGTCCCTTCCTCAAGACGACATACTGACCTGAGACTGACCTGAGGAAGGGACCCTGTGTGGCCCCAAAACATTGGCTGTGCTTGACAAACTGTGACAATTATTTAATAGATTGGAAAAGGATAAAGGATTTATTGCATGTGTGCTGGTGATTATTCAATCTACATTTGAGTTCTATGCAGCGCCATCAATGTCATCACCACGAGCACCACCTTACAAGGTCTCAACGCTATATGGAGTGCAGGTGATCAATGAGACTATTATTTTAAAATGTGTTACAACTCTGCCCCCTGAACCAGAGCCCCAATGCAAGATTTTATTTGCCCAAAGTGTTTCTTTAAGCTACCATTACTATAAACCCCCCAAAAATAAAGAAATTGTTGTAGACACTTACGACGCCGTCAGAGTGGAATTAAGAAGTAAAGTGGTTCTTATTCTGTACAGCTGGGCCAGGGTGAGTTTCCTATGCTGTGCTGACTGAGGTTCCGACATTGTACTCTTGGCACAGCCAGGAGCACTAGCATCGTCCAGTTCCCTCCCAATGTCCTCGCCACACTGTTCAGGTAAAGGGCTACTGTACACATGGGACTCAGGGTCGAACTCAAACTCGGGCAGAGAGTCCAGCTGATCAGACAGCGGGTCCGTTAATTTCTCATCCTCACCGTCTTTGGAGAATCCAGTCTCTACTGAATCCGAAAGGTCAGAGGAGCTGCTGCTGCAGCTACTTAAATTGACCACTTGTCTCCTCGTGCAGTCCGACCGGGACCTGGGCTTTACTAAGTGTTCCTCAACGTTTTCCGATGAACGTTCCACCAAGCTAGTCCTTTTGGCAAAATGCCAATCACGGCCATTGTTGTGGCCGTCAGAGTCCAAAAAATGCTGTGGTCCCGGAGACATAAAGAGTTCACACAGGCTTTTACTTTGACAAAGTTGGGTTTCATCCTCGGCGTGGTTGGTGGGACCTACTGATATCAAGTGAAGGAGACTGGCTTCTGACTTGGATTTCAGGACCTTGGACTTGCACGGCAAGAGCTGGACCGGAGTTCGTCGTTTGAGTTTTGGAGAAGTATTCGACCGTTGAGAACTAACCGACTCCCTCTCCTCTTCTGTCAGTTCTTGCTGCTGTCGCTCCACAAACTCCTCCAGTGATGTAGGAGATAGGGTCCCGTAAGCACTGTCAAAAGAGGATGACCTACATCCATTGGGCTCTAGTTTCAGGTAGTTAGAATCCCCAGCTGGACTCGCCTCTGATGTCTCCATACTTTCAAACATCTCTCTAGTGGGCGTTAGGGAGGATGCTGTGGTGCTGATTGATGTGTCATCAGACTGGGAGCCGTATGCGCCTTGTTCAGCCTCAGGAGAAGAGAGGTCTTCACCGGCGTCAACCACCACTACGGAGATGGTTTCTGTTGAGCTGACTGAAGGACTGCAAAAAACAATATTTATAAATGATTAGATAATGAGCCAAGGTAGGAACTCTTCCCTAAAACTATCATAGTAAACCAACGAATCATCAATTTATTAGTAAAACAAATTGTATATGAAATGGATCTTTTGTACAGCCGCACAGTCCTGATGGTGGTGGACCAGATATAACTCAGAGGGTGTTTTCAGTGACCTCAACTGATGGCCCTGTGCAAAGCCATATCTAAAGAGTAGGAAGTCACCTGCACTCCAACCCAATACTACTCTTTACTAGTGTATATTGTGTATCATTCTAATGGGGTTACAAATTTGCTCCAATATGACTGTGGGGCAGTAATAACATGTTACCTCTGTGTCATGTCTGTGCTGCTTCGACGTAGAATGGTTGGTGAGCTAGCCGCAGAGGTCCCGCTTTCCATGTCTTCCTCCTCTTCCCTGCCGGCTTGCTGTCGGCTTTGCATATGCTCTTGACGTAATCGTTGCAAGAGATTCTAGGAAAACAGAACATAAGTGTTTAGTGGCAAACCATTATCAGGAGATTGCAAAATCATATTGGCTATTATGTATCACAATACAGCTCTCTGCAAGCTGATGTGCAATAAATTTAGACAAGGTTGCACATAGGTTGACCTTAGAGTAGAGTAATGCTAAAGAGCTGTGCAAGTGGAAAAAATAGGCAAGACTGCCATCATCAGGCTGCAACTGGTATCTACACATCAGGTTTCAAAGTTTAAAAATTAACCTGTGCTCTTCACAATATAGAACAAAGGAACAGGCTTACCTAATTGCCCCCCATCCTCCAAATGTTTATATTTCCCTTGCCCCTAAGACCCTCAACCCCATCCCGCCACTACATTAGCTTTCTGGTGTAAACTCAGTAAGTAGCAACTTCAAACTCAATCACGATATCTCACTGGCGTTTTTGAGAGACATAAGAAGCCAGTGGGAGATTCAGCCCAACCAAACCTACTGACAGCTATGTTTTTTAAGCATGGTAGATTTTTATTGAGAAAGCAACAGAGAAAGCAATACATATATGATCAAGAAGTGACCGGTATTATAGATCATGTATCAGTACGCAGACTGTGATTTAGACATGCATAACGTTATATATCCAAGTAATAATAAATGAGGAACCAGATCACATCATTGTGGTAAACTCTCTAGCAATAGTATGTATCGATTCTAAATATAAAAATAAACTGCAACCAGTTATCCCTATAGCCGTGAGGGTCGGTACTGTGGGGAGAAGACCAAATCTCTATAGCATGGGTGCTCGTGGGCATATCAGGAGGACCAAACCTTATTAGGTGTGGTGGGTGGGAACCTCGGCTAGTGACGGATATGTTATCAGTTTCCGATGGACTGACCCTTTAAAAGCTGCTTGAGCTTGATACCCTGCCAAGACTGTCATACACTAGTTAAACACCAGATAGTAGTGTAGCATTCCTTTCTATTAAATGCATTGCAAGAAAATGCGTAGACTCACCTGTGCATTGTGAAGTGCTTCCACCCACCCTCGGCACAAGGACTGGCCACTGGCTTGAAACGTATAGGCTGCCACTGCACTTCTGAACTCATTCAAGTAGATCAACAAAAAGGAACCTGGAAAGATGAAAATATTCATTAAAACTAAAGCTGAAAAACAAGATGTTTGCATGACATACAAGAACATATTTTGATCAATATAGGCTGGAAATATACACATATATACCATACAACTGTCCACCTGCACAGAAAATAAGTAACACTTAACTGTCCACCCTCATTGCTCTTCTAAAGACCTAAGCTTGCTGAAAAAATCTTCTGCATTCGACACTTCTGGGAGCGTTGGATACCTGGTGATCCTGTGTGCTCTGTGGTTCCCTCTGCTGGACTTTATGACACTACAGGATCCAGTAGTTATGTAAGGGCCAGTGGAAGGACCCACAACGTATAGTAGGGACCAGGTATCTGGCACACCTGGAGGTGGTCAATGCAGAGGGTTCTTCAGCCGATGCAGCTCTTCAAGGGAGCTCTTCAAAAGTCTACCATGCATAAGTAACACTTAACTGTCCACCCTCACTGCTCTTCTAAAGACCTAAGCTTGCTGAAAAAATCTTCTGCAGTCGACACTTCTGGGAGTGTTGGATACCTGGTGATCCTATGTGCTCTGTGGTTCCTTCTGCTGGACATTACGGCACGACCCCACAATGTATAGTAGGGGACCAGGTATCTGGCACACCTGGAGGTGGTCAATGCAGAGGGTTCCTCAGGGGGTGTAGCTTTTCAAGAAAGCTCTTCAAACGTCTTCCAACACACAAAAAAAGAATACCTGTCCTGATGTTGACCTTGCTCCATTGAAGAACCATTCTGGCCAAAGAACATTCTGCATCCAGCACTTCCAGGTGTGTCGGATACCAGGTCCCCAGCCAAACCAGACATCACTATTGTAGTAACGTACTGGCTGGCAGAAGGAACCACAGCACACAGCAGGATCCAGGCATCCGACACTCCCAGAAGTGTCAGACATAGAAGACGATTTAGGATGCTTTAAAAGAGCGAAGATCATCCAAAATGTCATCAGGAAAAAAAAATAAATGTGAAAATAAGGGTTCATTGCTAGTGATCATAATTGCTGCCGTCTGATATAGAAACGCTATTTATTCACTACCATGTTAAACTGGTTATCTCCATTTAATGTTTGTTTTAGAAACACAATATCAGATCTCCAGCTAGACAAAGGACAATATTTATCTTTCGACTGCGAGGCACATCTGCTCTATAGTCTGCTGACAAAGACCCAGGTCCGGTGAAAGATCAATTACCCAGAAGTCAGTGCAAATAAATAAAGGCATAAAATATGTAGACGTGATGTTGGATAGAAATTGATGGAGGTGCCCTCCGCACACCTTTCAGCAGTCCCGGCCAACAATCAAATAAATGGTGCTCGAAGTCACATCTCTTGCCTTGAAGAAGGGACCCTGTGTGGCCCCGAAACGTCGGCTCATGTTGGATTTCTGTGACATCATTGTCCATTAAAAGGACTCATTCATTTTAACTTATGGAGTGCTGGTGACCTATTTTCTTCAATTGTGATGTTGGATAGGTCTGGGACAAATTTCAACATTTCAACCAGGTAAGTACTTTAAAGAAGATTTACAAAACCTGAGGGTGATGATAATGATAAGATATGAGCTCGTGTTTGCCAAGTATTACTTTTATTACAATCATAAAATGCCGATGTACCTGTGTCCTTGAGTTCCCTACAGATGATCTTATCCACCAATAACGGCTGTCGGATGACTTTGGTCCTTTCCGCCTTTTTCACTGGCTTCGTGATGAGGAAGAGATCCGTGAACAGGAAGCAGTATACATCCATCTGAAATGAGCAATATCTTTGGTTAAGTTTGTGTGGGAACCTTGTTATGCCAAAGGCACTACATAAATCATTTTTTACTTTTTAAAGAACTAAAATGGATTTATTTGGAACAAGATCTATCTATCTATCTATCTATCTATCTATCTATCTATCTATCTATCTATCTATCTATCTATCTATCTATCTATCTATCTAAATATATTGCTTAGATTTCTAATTATAGGCAGACAAAAGAAGAATAAAAAAATATACAATAATAATATAAATGTAATAAATATAAATGTATATTATTTATACGGTAGATATTATATTTATTTTTGAAAATATTTTTCAAACTTTTATTAGTTTCAAAACACACTGGATGGTCGTCTATTAAGTGTATGTCCAGCCAAAAGATTTTCATTTCAGTTTTAGTGGGGAAGGATTAAAACCGCTGAGAGGTTTTTGCTGCTGTCCGAGGCTCTGTTGGAGAGATTTCCCTTCAATTACTGTAATGGTGGTGACTTTTCTTTCAAACAGGAAGTGAGAGGAAATCTCCAACAGCAATGAAGGCACCCGCAGCTGTCGGAATACTGCCAGAATACCTGAACAATGCTGCAGCAGATTGGCTGTACCCATCTCCTTTGACAAAAGTCAATGAAAAAAAATTGACTTTTGTTGAGCCGGGTGGTGTCATCAAGGCAACTCACATATCAAATTTTGCCTGATTCAGCAGGAAAAAGCTGAAATTTGATCTGTGTATAGCTTGCATAAGAAGATACTTCATGAACACATCCTGATAAGAATCACCTTGCTGTCTTTCCCTTCCTTCATCTTCAGGCTGCCTTCCAGCAGAAGCTGTCGTGTGTCGTCCAGAGAAGTCCCAAATATGGGTGCTGTCAAATCAAACTTGCAGAACTCCTTTAATATCTACACAGAGCAATAAGAGTCACCATCATTATGGAACAATAAATCGTGACAATGGGTCAATCTTATAACATTTCCACCAACAGAATTTATAGCTAAAGATTATATTAATCTCTGTGCTACAGTATAGGGCCAAAGGTTTGTGGGCCCCTGACCTTCACACCTGTAAGAGCTTGTTGGAAATCCCATTCCAAAGCCACAAGTATTAAAGGAGAAGTATGGGGTAAATGTTTTTCCCCATAGTTCTCCTAAGGGTCACGGGAGGACATAAACTAGCATCCTCCCGTGACCCAAAGCTCAGTATATCCCAAGCTACAGCTCACTATATACTGAGACTGCCGCAGCCGGGACGGATCCCCGACATTACTGTCGGGATCCACCCAGCTGCGTGATTGACAGCTGGCTCTGCCTATCAAGAGGCAGAGCCAGCTGTACCCATCCGTTCCGCCAGTCAGCACTGGAGGATCGGAGCAGGGAGGGGGGTGATCCCTGCAGGGAGCCGTGACTGACAGTCGTGGCTCTCTGCAGGGATAGATTGAGAAGAGAGCGAGCAATGTGTTCGCTCACTTCCCGATCTATTGAGCCGACGCGTGACAGTTTCATTGTCACACGTCGGCTCGAACTACAAGGTTGAGTGAAAATCACTCACCTCATAGTTCTCCTTTAATATGGAGTTGGCCCTCCTTTCAACTATGGCCTTCACTCCTATGGGAAAGCTTTACACAAGATTTTGGGGGGTAACTAAGGGAATTTGTGCCCATTCAGTAAAAAGAGCGTTAGGTACTGATGTTGGTTGAGAAGACCTGACTCATAATTGGCATTCCAATTTATGCCAAAGGTGTTCAGTAGGGTTGAGGTCAGGGCTCTGTGAAGGCCATTCAAGTTCCCCCACACCAAACTCATCAAACCATGTCTTTATGGAGCTAGCTTTGTGCACAGAGGAAAAGTTACGCTGGGAACAGAAAAGGGCCTTCACCAAAATGTTACCACGAGGTTGGAAGTGCACAATTGTCTAAAATGCCTTTGTATGCAGTACCAGTAACACGAACCTTCACCGAAATACCTAAACTTCAAAATTTGGAATATTAGGCACATCATTTTGACCTTATAGTATATATCACCAAGATTCACATGTAGCTGTATACCTTATCCACCTCATCTGTACTGCTCTCCACAGCTTCATAAGAGTCGATACGGCTGATGATGGCCGCCAGTCGCTGCTGCTCTTGCCGTTGGCGCATCCTTGAGTTTACATGATTGATGAATCGCTCAACCGAGTTTATCTGTAGTGATAGAAGAACAATCGTCATGTTAGAAGAGCTTGGTGGTCACAAGGAGGATTAAAGTTAATGTAATTCACACTGAAGCTGTAAAGCCGTCATACAAAAGTGAATTTTATCATCATTCATGAACCAAAGAGAGGAGCAGACATTCCTTGATCATTTTACAGAATTCTTAGCATTCCCTCCATTAGATGAACCTATGAATTTCCAATGCTCCTCAGCTCCATCTAGTGGCAAGAATGCTGTGCGAATAACAATCGCTCAGCATATAGCTGGGTGGAACCTTCATAAATCATTCCCATAGTTTATTTATGTGAAAGAGTTTTGGGCTACAATCATAGACATGTCCGTACACATTTCAGGAACTCATTGGAACGGAAATATTACTTCTGCTTGGAGTGACCTAACTCTTGGCTTCTATGAAGAATAATTGTCATGACGTGACTTCAGAATTCTATTACCGTACATAGGATGGACAAATCAATTACCATGGCAATGATGGACTCTCTGACTTGAGGGTCGTCCGTCTTTTTCAGGATGGACTTGAGCAGCAGGGGGTACTTGGTGAGACGTTGATGTGGCTTCACTAACATGTCGCTCAGCTTCAGGCGATTGCACTGTTTGTGTTTCTCGGCCCACTGTACAAATACAGACAAAAGGTACACTGATATAATAATCTGGGTAAACTGTGCACCCACGCTCAAATAGGCTCCTCCCACTTATAAAGGGAGGAACATGCAGACAGGTGGGAGGTGCAGAATTAAAACACATAAAGCTTTTTGATTACTAACGGATACAGATTAAAGTTAAAATAATAAAAAATGGTTTCACAACAACAAAGCAATCTATGCATCTTCACAGGCCTGATACAAGGTTGGGACTGCGGGACAGTGTAATTTTGGTGCAAAGATTCTGCCAGAGGAGGTGGTGGAGAAAGAGTCTTAATTCTGTATCCCTGTTGACCTAGACAGCATAGGATTTGCATTAGTCCTCCCAAGAGCCAGCCCACTGCTTACGTCAAGCCCAGGGCCGGATTTCCTCTCTCTGCTGCCCCAATGCCAGGTTCCTCAATGCACCCCCCTGCATGCAGGCTGCATACAAGTGATCTCAAAAAACATCGCCAAGATCACTTGTACAAAACAAGCGGCGGCTTCCCTGCTGTACATTTAGCCATGCTTGCCCAAAGAAGGGCTAAATGTAGAAAACAACTGCCCGCTCGGCGCCCAGAAATTTCACACCCCTGCTGCCCCACTACTTCCTGCTGCCCTAAGGCCGGGCCTCGTTTGGTCTTGTGGGAAATCTGGCCCTGGTCAAGCCCGAGGGCTCTCGAGAGGAGTACCAAGGCAAGGTGCTATATGTTTTCAGGAAGCTATGTACAGCACCCTGCCCGCAATGATCTGCCTGCATTTACAGAGAAGCACAGAGACCCCGTGATGATGTCACCGGGTCTAAAAAAGGGTAATGAAAATGGAAAGATTTTATTTTATAATGTCATTAGCACGTTGACGAGGGAGGAACCATGGAAGGCAAAATATAAGCAGATTAAACTTCAGCTTTGACCTATGTCTTGTCTCCAGGAATACGGATGTGAACCTTACCGTTACATAGGCCCGAAAGACTTCATTGTCCCGGTGCAGATTCCTCATATTCTCCATACAGCCTTCTTCCTCCATACAATATCGGATATATGGCTTAAAGAGAGATTCAAACTGTGAAAAGAAAGGAGAAAATGTATTTCATTAAATGAATAATGAGGAGATCACACATGTTACTGTTTAATTGCCATCTGTAAACATAAAAATTATACATGAGAAAGGGATCAGCTTAACCTTTTCATGACCAGACTTCATTGAGGCTTACATTCCCAGACCTAATTGTTATTATTGGTCAGTTAAAGCTGAACTCCAGCCAAACAACTACTAAAATACATATAAGACAGCAGAATTACCTGTCAAAGGGATTGTATTTATGTTCATCCAGTTCTGCTATTTACACAGCCCAGCCCCATCTGGCAGAGCAGGAGACCTGATTTTTCTCTGCTTCTGTTAAAGAACACTTACAGGTCATGTCCCTCCCCTCAGCCTGTGACTGGACATTGAAAAGAGGAGTGGCTGACTGATTAACTCATTTGTCTGTCACTCTGTTCTTCCCTCCTATCAGCACTTTCCTTTGCACTGCAACACAACTGACTGGATTCCTTGTGCTACTTCTCCCTCTCCTAATCTTAGCCCTGCTGTACAAGGACTGCAAAAGGCTGATACCAGCTCAAATCCAGATACTGCTAGCATAAAAAATTACATTTAACGATGGGTTAATTTTTGTTATATCTTCCTGGAGTTCAGCTTTAACTTGACAATAACCTAATGAGTTATTTGTGAACCTGAATCTTTTTATATTGTTTTTTGATGGCATATATTGGTTTTCATTTTGGTTTTATTAAATACCTTGCTCAATTTTAAGTTATAGGTAAAAATGTTTTAAAAACACATTTTATTTTTGTTGTTTTATAACAATTAAAAATATATATCATACATACCATTTTGAATCCTTTCTGGAAGTCCACTGGGTTCAACAGGCTCCTGGATTTTCTGGCCTTCTCCAGTACTGGCAGCATAATGTTACCCCAGAGAGCGCGGTGCAGCTGGATAATTTCCTGCACGTTGCTGAACAGCTTGTCTGGCTCCACCTGTCACCATAAAATAACAGAATATTAATGGCCAATTAAGATATCGTTCTTGGTCAAAGGTCCCTCCCTTTATGAGGATATAACCTCGCCTTGGCAAATAGAAGAAACCGCAATATTATTGTTTGAGTTTCTGGTTTTGTATGTACACGGTTTTATTTTGTTTAAAGAATTGGTCCATCCAAAGCTACTCCAGTGTTTGGGTGATGCTGGAGAGTTAATCTGCCCTACGGTCTCTTCTATCTCCAGGGGATTCTATTGGGGAGATCTCTGTGCTGAGTTCCTGGGTCTGCACACTGGCTGTGCCCTATATGAGGGGTACCCACTATCCCTGTGCTGAGTTCCCGGGTCTGCACACCACCTGTGCCATTTAGGGGGCGTTCCCACTATCCCTGTGCTGAGTTCCCAGCTCTGCACACCAGCTGTGCCCATTATGAGGGTCTCCCACCATCCCTGCACTGCATTTCCAGGTCTGCTAACCAGCTGTGCCCATTAAGAGGGGTTCTCACTAACCCTGTGCTGAGTTTCCTATCTAAACACATGCTGTGCTCAATATGAGGGGTCCCCACCATCCCTGTGCTGCGTTCCCAGCTCTGCCCATTATGAGGGTCTCCCACCATCCCTGCACTGCATTTCCAGGTCTGCTAACCAGCTGTGCCCATTAAGAGGGGTTCTCACTAACCCTGTGCTGAGTTTCCTATCTAAACACATGCTGTGCTCAATATGAGGGGTCCCCACCATCCCTGTGCTGCGTTCCCAGGTCTGCACAACAGCTGTGCCCATTATGAGAATCTCCCACCATCCCTATGCTGAGTTTCCGTGTCTGCACACCAGCTGTGTCCATTATGAGGGGTCCCCAGCATCCCTGCTGGATTTTTTTATATTATGGAGAATGTAATAGGAGGATCTGGGACACACAATGGTGGGCAGGGACACCCAAAGCTCCCAAGTGGTCAGGAATTCGGGCAGGGAGTGCTTGCTGTAAGAGTACCCAAGAGCCAGAAGCTGACTCAACCCAACATGCCCCACCTATACCTAAAATATTGAGAGGGTGGAATGGCCTTTTAATCTTCATTAAATACACACACACACACACACACATTTTTGTGTGTTTTTTTACCTCGCACAGAAGTCCTGATTCCTGAAGATTTAGCAGGCAACACAGGAAAAGCTACAGAAAGATGAAACAAATATTAGAATAATGATCATAACAAAACCCCATACATGAGATCTGTTCATCGTATCAAGTTCAACTTTATCTTTATATTAAATTGAAGCTCTCCCTGACCTTGGGGGTAATCTCCCCCCAAATGAGTCCTTGGGCATGGAGCTCACATAGCAGCCAGTAATCACTGAGGAAGCAAATGAAACAGCAAAACAAAAAAACAAATACAGTTGTTGAAACCCATCTCCGGGAAACCAAAAAACGACACTTGCAGTGGGGATTTCCCCGCGCACTACAAGGGCTAAGTGCTTGTTTTAGTCTAAGGGGCTGGAGTAAAGTGCTTTTACTTACCTGGATTACCCGATGCACAGTCCTGTTGTCTCCCTCCAAGCTGCTAGACTGGTCTCTGCAACCACTTCTCCCTTTTGCTCCAGCGGTCTCAGGATCACTGACATCATCACATCTAATGCAGGGTCCATAGAATTGCATTAGACGTGAGGACACCAAGAGATATTCCACAACAGGACAGTGCTGACCACCGTGGCAGGGGGAAACAGGTAAGTAAAAGTGCTTCACTCCAGTCCTCCAGACTAGTTTTTTGGTTTTCCCGAGAGATGGGCTTTAAGTAAAAACATGAAGCCCACCACAATGATGACCTAGGCAGGTGCCCAATTTCCCTGTGTCTGGATACTCACATCTGTTATGACCTTCAGCTTCTTGATGTAGGTGGCCTCGGTGTGTATCAGCTCCCAGATGGCCTCCTGCTGGTGGCACTGGCGTCTTGTCAAATTCTGGTAGAAGACAGAACAACGGGGAGCACAAATGTTAATTCATGGATTCTGTTCCACTGTAGCAAGCCCACCATCGTCACTATGGAGGACTCCTGCAGTGTCCGCGGCTGCAAATGGCTTACACCCGTGTCTATGCTCAGTGATTGCTGAATATGAATCTCTCCATAGTGAGAGGAAATCTTCTCTTATCTGTCACTAGAACAGGCCCCCATTGTAAAATCCCCATTCTAATCCTGTACCAGTGACAACTTTAAAAAGTTGGCCTACCCATCACTACAGGGGTTCTTATGCTTCCCGATTTAAACCAAAATCTAAGAAAGCTGACGCTGAACTCCAGGCAAACAGCTGAATTTACAGATGACATACTGTACATATTAGGGTGCTGCTTTGCCTGCCAAAGGATATTAATTCAGCCATTATCAATGAAGCCTAAACTTGCCCAATCAATGACTTTTGTAAATGGTCAATCAATGATATCGGTCATGTAGCAGATTCATATTAAACTATTATTGTTATTTTTTCTATTTGTATCATGTTTATATATATTTTTATCTATTTTTACCTCTGGGACTTCAACGATTTGCTGCCAGCTGTCCTCTAGGCCCAGATTTGTATCATCTTCTTCCTCCTCCCAGGAATCCTGGTCGAAACACATCTGCTGGGGCGGCTTGGGGAGGCCGAACATGCTATATGAATGCAGTTTGCTTTCCAGTTGCTCCATTTTATCGATCTCCTGCAAAAAGAGCAAAGAACAAATCGGATAAGAAGGATAAAAGAAAACATATTCAAGATGAACGACACAGCTCCTGATACAATGATACTAGTAGAATACAAACCAAGAGTCAGACCTCATGTAGAGAGATGGCTCAGTGTGAGCAGCAGCAGCAGTGAGGGGTCTGCGTATAACATGGAACAGGTTGACTTATATAGGGGCCAGAATGGCTCGTCTGCCTACCCAGACCGCTGCTTATGTATGCAAATGAGAGTCAGAAATGCTAATGAGATTAGTGGGGGAGCCCTCTTCTTTGTTAGCCTGTTACTGTGGCTCGTGCTCGGGCACTTGGCACAGCCCAAGGGAAGCCTGGGCTGAAAGGAACAGCTGGTACTAGTGGGCGAGGGTCGAACTATTGAATGGGCTGAAGACAATTGGAGCCATCCTGACCCCTCCAAATTACTGATGGGCCGACATGGACCTAAAGCGCGGGGAAGCCAGCATAATATCCCACTGCGGACAAAGGATGCATAAGCCTATCAAAGTGTTCTAGTATTTCTCTATGCTCCAGGGTGGATGCTGTGTTTTGCACTATGGAGTTGATGCTAAGTCTAGGCAAGTTTGGGGATTTATTTGTTAACATCCATGATGTGTATGTCAGGGCAAAATTGCAAAAACAAAGTTTTGTACATCTCTGCAATACGCACACATCTCCCCTTGTTGTGTCCCTTTAAAAATGCTGCAAGTACAGAAAAATCTCTGTTGAGCTAAAAGGAATCCATTAAGCGCCTAACTTCCTGTAATGGGCTGACAACGCTGCCTCTGTTGTAGTGGAATCCAAAAGCAGTGTTGTCAGCCATTTCTCCTCTTGGACTGCAGAACACCTCCCACTTGTGTTATAAAGATAAGGAGAAGGGGAAGAGTTCTGCATGAACACCCTCCTATTTTATAAAGATGAAGAGAAGGGGAGGAGTTCTGCAGGAACACCCCCTATGTTATAAAGATGAGGAGAAGAGCTCTGCAGGAACACCCTCCTATGTTATAAAGATGAGGAGAAGGGGAGGAGTTCTGCATGAACACCCTCCTATTTTATAAAGATGAGGAGAAGGGGAGGAGTTCTGCAGGAACACACCCTATGTTATAAAGATGAGGAGAAGGGGAGGAGTTCTGCAGGAACACCCTCCTATGTTATAAAGATGAGGAGAAAGGGAAGAGTTCTGCATGGTTCACAACACTGCCTTTGCCACACTGAAATCCTGAGCAGTGTTGTCAGCCCTACTTCCCCCTCTCTCTGAAGCTGGACTTCAGAACACCTCCCCCTTATGTTATGGAGATGAGAAGAGTGGGAAGAGTTCTGTAGTCTAGCACAAGAGAACTAGGCAGGACTGACAACCCAGTTTGGGATTTCAGTGCAGCGTAGGCAGTGTTGTCAGCTCAAACAGACAGTTAGGTTGCAGATCAAAAGGTATTGCCAAAACCCATAGAAATGTGCCTGTATTGTAGATAAGCCCTCCATATGTTTGCTCTCATCTTGCCCAGACATGTACAATTAAAAAAAGATCCATATTATAGAACCCCGTAACAATATGCAGACCCGGCTTCCTGCTTAGCATTTCTGCACAATTGTTCTGCGCTAATTATCTTCCCCGTACAAAGAAAATCGGATTGAAGGAAAACAATGCGGATGCGATTTTATCTCGGTCATTTTTTGGATGACGGCGACTGAGCGATTGTAGTGAAATGCAGACAGCCACAAGAGATAAGATCAACAAACCCGCACATGTAATACAATGAAGGTAATATGGTACAGCAAGCCTTTTAAAATGAGTAAATGACATCAACAAGGTAAACAATACAACAAATCAAAACAAGTCAAAGCGTGCTTCTGGAAAATACACTTAAAAATCATAAATTAACAAATAAAAAGTCTTAAAAGGTTTCTTTTTTTATAAAGCTCCAGTCTTTGTTCAGTTCAAAATAGCATTATGTGTGTCAATGTGAGCGCACATAATCGTGACGTGTGAAAGCTTCATTGCATAAAATAACACATATCCGCAGTTCAAAGCCTTCCTTGGGAGGAAAGTGAGAATGGGT